AACGGAGCGTGAGGTATCTACACAGGAAGGGCACGCACTGTCCAGGGAATTGGGGTGCGAATTTGTTGAAGCATCTGCAAAGAACTGCATCAACGTCGAAAAGGCCTTCTACGATGTGGTCAGGAACTTGCGTCGACAGCGGCAACAAGCGTCTCGTCCGGCGGGTGGCTCGAGCGGCCGCTCACGTACAGGCAATGGTGACATTGGGGGGCGTGAGCGCGAGACAACGAGATACCGGCGCAGCAAGGACGGCGAAAAGAGCAAGAAATGCGTTGTATTATGAGCGCGAATGTTTTTCACGATATCCGGCTTTGTGCACGCAGCATCTGAGACGGGTGCTGGCTGGTGAGGGGAGGTGAAGCAATTTTTTTTTCCTTCGGTCCTGCTTGTGTCTCGAATGGAAGCTATATACCATCAATTGCTTCCTCTCGACGACAACAACAACGACCCCCTCTGGGATTATGAAAACGAAAAACACAAATTCAAAAAACGAACAATCCATTCAAGACTCCGTCTTGAAGGACATGGCCCGCCGAAGAGAGGAGGAATGCAATCAATTTTAAGCGACTGATGGTTAGGTGTTCCTGTCATGTTTTCCCACTTGATGATGCAATATCCCGGCAACGAACGAGCGACATCACCTGAATCGGCGAATGGCGTATGAATAAAAAAAAGAGGCATATTCTGGGGCGCTAGGTTATTTTGACGACATTTGCAATTGCTTCTGCCATGATTTGTTGGTCTTAATGATGGCGTCGCGATTATCTTCGAAAGCCGATGTGAGGAGAGGACATGTTTTTCCGCCTCGAGCTGCTTCAGTATCTTGAACCACATTTTTTTTCCCGTGGTGCTTTTACAAAGTCGATTTGTCATTTTCTTACGTGCCATGTTGAGGCATCGAGGAATAATGACAGAAGGATGGCGGGCTGGCCTTACTTTCAAGAATAGTTTTCTGTTATGCCAGGCCTGAGCGGTTTCCGTCACTCATCGCAAATGAGGAAACAAGGGTTGTTGGAATATGAGTTTTGCCCCGGGGTCGCATGCACTCGTCCTTGTTATCGGCACACAATCTTATCCCACGAGTTGACTACACTTCCTCCTAATTCTACTCTTGTGGTTGTTTTTACGTATGTTTTCTCGCTACACGGGTCTCAACTTGAGACTCCCTCGACATTGGCACGAGGACAAGACCTATCCCCTGATGTTCACAGAATTGCTTGCCCTCGCGGGAAGAAAAAGAGCAGGAAACTGGATGGAAGAAGAGCATCGGGCAGCAGATTTGCACAATGCGAGACGACGGATGGTTGATGTAGACGGTTATTTGACCTGTCTTGAGTTGAAGAATTTGGATATTTCAGTTTCTCCCTGCTCCTTGGATGGGACAGAGATGCGCAAGAGGACAACAGCCTAGTAGCCGAGGTAGAATATATCGAAAGACATGATGATTGACAGGGAAAAATACAATTGAGGCTTGGCGAGGCAGCAGCTTCGTGTCGCACAATTTGGTACCTTTTCACAGGTGACGGGACAAGAGGCTCAGCCCACTTACGACTTGGAACGAATGCCGTTGGCTACTATGCGAGATGGAGAGCGAGAAGTTAGAACGAGGCTTGGACTTTGACGGCCGGGAGGGGCCGCCGGCTCCGATGGCATCGTGAATTCACGCCGCCAACGCAGCATGTGAACGCTTGTGAAGGGAGAGGAAAGGAGAAAGAGAAACGGAGAGGCGTGCAACCAGTGCACCCAATGCACCCAATGCACCCAATGCAACCCCCAGAGGACTGACCAACTTGAGCTAGCAGCTTACAGCTAGTATTACAAATAGAACACGCTTCCTGTCTGAGCGCCGAGCAAGAAATGAGGGATTGGAAAAGGGGGGGAGGGGGTAATTGTTTGGGCCAGTGACTCGATTTTCGGACGTGGTCACTTCTCGTTGGGCCGCCCAGGGAGGTTTCCATTGTTCAAGGTACTTAAGTGGCGGGGACGCTCCTGCGGACTAGACGGAGAGGGACCATGCGACGCATGCAGCATATAATAATACGCAACTTGACTACTTGAGCAGGCAGACGAGGCTGGCATTTCGCAGACGTGATGATTTTAGCTGCTGAATTTACCTTTTTTTTTTCTCGTTGTTTTAGTTTTTCACATCCCCCTTGTCCCTATCAATAATACCCGCAGCAACTCGTCGGCCACGACGGCCCATCCATCAAGCGGCAAATAGTAAATTAGAAGGGCCAAGGCCAAGGAGGGGCATAGGTACAGTACGCAGGAGATTTGCAGCTGTTCATGTACAATGTACAAGACGACGCTAGACGAGCGACGGTTCACATGCTTCCTGGGTCACGCTTGTGGGGCTTAGGTAGCTATTCGGAAACGGGACAGGTTACTCCGTACTCCGTATTTTGCTCGGGGTTCTCGGGCGGGTGGCGGGTGGCGGGTGTGGCAGGCAGGTGGCAGGTGGCAGACAGCTGTCGCCTCCCACTTTGGACACCCACAAGTGGTGCCGAACTGTGCTCTAGTTTCTGCCCTTTTTTTTTTTTTTTTTTTTTTTTTTTTTTAAGTCATCTGGGCCTCTAGACGCCGTCTCAACCTGGCGGCCAAAACGCATCTTTGAAACGCCAGAGGCGGCTGGTAACTTGTTTTTTTTTGCAGACATCCTATTGCGGACAAAGTAACCATGTCCTGGGCACTCTGTGTGCGCAAAGAGATGTGAAGCCGAACCCTGTCTGCACGCGGCCGGCATCTCAATCATGGATACCCCTGCCACGGAGGAGCAAGATTAATGCCGCTCTATACTGCCGAGATGTATTTATTTACCAAGGATTTTCGCCCCCCCCTGGTTGGATCTATACTACGTACACATTTGGCACCAAGCTCCATGCCAAAGCACAAAGACACAACTGGCAGCGAACTTGGCGCGAACCATGGCTCTTCATCTGGATTCGAGCATCGGCAGTATCATCGAGGCTGTCCAGTTATGGGCCAACCAGTACTACATACGTGTACCACTGCATGTCAAAATTGTTGTCCACCGATGCCAATCCCGCATCCAGACCAATACTCGATTCAGTATTTCCAAGTGTCATATCCAGAGCCGGCATGTCTCCTTGTGCTTCACCACACTGAGCTATGCAGGACAAGGACACTCTGAAGCGCCCGATTAGCGCTCCCGCTCTGCTCTAATCATGTCGCAAGCAGCGCTGATGCCAAGATTCAGACACCAGACAATATGCGCAACATGTTTACCAACTGTTACTTTTCCAAGCGCCATGTGTGCGAAACTGCACATCTCTACTGTCCCCAATTCACCAGGCTTAATTCTTGTGCTTCTGAAGGAGAAGTAGGCATTTTGCGTCATCTGTTTGGCCGAGTAAGTATCAATCCTAGGAACAGGGTGCCAACACTGCATTACCGGTAGATATGCCGTTGTGGATGCCTTCGACTGAAGATCATGTCTTACTACTCCGTACTTGCACTTCACAAGCATGGGCAATAGTACTACATATCTGGGCACTCGTGCCTCCCCCGCAGCGTACTCCGTACGGACGGAGCAGTAGTTCCAGCCCGGCAACCCAGAGTCAACTATCAATCAACCTGCAGCTCACCCGGGGTCCGGGTTTTACTTGTATATTTTCTCGGCACCTCGGGCTGCCGCTACATGTCGACAGAGTTTGCGAAAGAAGATGGTGATGCCAAAAAGAAGAAGAAGGCATAGGGAACACCCGCTGGCCGTCCACAACCCGTACAGAGACGAACTCCGCAAACTTGGCCAACTCTATTCGCAGCCGGCTCTACGCCAATTCCAACATTGCTCACTTTTGGAGCAGGCTCTGTCAACGTTATTGCTTTGCGGCGCTCTGACCGGCCCGGTAGCTTCCTAAGCCATCCACACCCAATTCCGGGCCTCGCCGTTCATTTTCCCGGCCGACCTTCTGTCACATTGTGTTGTGTGAGCCCTCCCATGCCACAAGTGCCGGCGGTGGCGGTGGCGGTAGGCTACGGCCTGTCGTGGTTGTGGCCGTAGTCGCGCGGTGCTTCCTCGACACCCGACTTTGATCAGCTACAAATGCGGACCAAGGAACCCACCCACTCTCCGCAATTAAGGAACAAGGGCAGGCAGGAAACCGCGTGGCACTGAGCCCATTTATCCCATCTGTTCCGTACGCCGTACGCCGTACTCCGTACTCCGAACCCGTACTGGTTGGTGGTGTGGTGGTGGCCGACTCCCGCCGAAACCTGCGCGCGTGCGAAGGAGCAGCGGCGCCGTCACTGACCAGCTCCTTCTCCGCCGCCAACATGCGGACAAGCCCAATAAACAACCACTCCGTGGCGTCAATCGCTTCTTCCGCCCCAAGCCTGCATCTTCCGACCATCCAGGTTCTCGTCAGACTGCCAATCCGCTCACCAACGCCATCAACCTGTCCGCCAGCCTGCCCGCCTGCCCTCGAGTGACGATGCGAGTGACGATGCGCTTGACGAGCTCGCCGCTCGCACACCCTCCAACTTGCCCGGCCGACCACGACGTGGCCAGCACCAAATATCCATCATGTACAGCACAATGCATTGGCAACACGCGCGTCTGCTCAGTGTCGGCGCCATCATCTTGATCACCACCTGTCCAACCAATGACCCGGCGGAAAGGGCACACTGGAACACACCCTACGCGTTGTTCAAAAAGGTGGCTGGCGTCTCCGCACAAGTGACAATCATTTCTATTCCAAAGAAATAACCCAGCACACATGGTAGGAGATGAAGCACTGACTAGCTTTGATTTGCCCTTCTTTCAGTCCCTTCCCAGTCAAGCATATACCCAGTTAGCGCCGTACCCTTCGTAACCTAAAATGTCCGTCCCGCTACAAGAATATAAAAACATAATCGAGTCCGCCCGAATCATCAATCCGATAAGAATATGTATAGTTGATAGATGACGTGGAGATGGGTTAAAATATTTCACCAAAGGCGTATAAATTGTTCTTGCTTCAAAACCTGAGCCCAGGCCATCATTCCCTGGTGGCGTGCTCATCGCTAAAGGGACTTCGACCGCGATCCCCAGAGCTGGGTCTGTTGATATTGTCGACACCACGACGCTCTTCAGCTTCCTCCATGACAGCTCCTAGAGTAGGAGTGCAGATGGCATTGACCTTCCGCTCTGGTGGGTCCGAGAATGGCCCTTGGTCGTTTGACGGGGACTCGTTGAGAATGGGGATGGCACCTGAGCTATCCTTGGACGAAGTAGCAGACACTAGAGATGTTGACGAGACGCTGGCATCGGACCTGGAAGAAATTTCAATCTTCTTCAACCCACTGCCAAGCTTGACGACCTGGGCACGCCCATGTTGAGCAGTGTTTGCGTTGTTAAGATATGTTGAGCCGACGCTGAAGTTGCTTGCACCGCTGTGGGGCCGACCGCTACCGAATCTCTCAAAGTCAATGGCAGGTACGGGAGGCGTACCAGAAGCGCTTGTGCCAGCGGACTTAACGCTGACGACGGTAGGCTTGGCCCGCATGCCTGTCTGGGCCGGTGTTTGGACCTGAGCCTGCTTGCCGTAGATTGTAGAGGCGATACTAGATCGAGGTGCGTAAGAGGTGCGGTCGGAGAAGGATGATATGCCCGAGTAGGTCGAGTCTCGAAGGTTGCCGGGCACGAAGAAGTGCTGTTCATCCTGGCTGCTAGCATGGCTGCCTTCAGAGTGCTGTATCGGGATCGGGGGTACAGGAGGCACCAGGACGGTGGGTGAGGTTGGCGTAGCGCGGTTGGTGACACCAGGGATATACGCAATCTGGATAATATTGGATGCTCGGGTCAGAACCGTGGAAGCAATGGAATGAACCGTGTGGGTTGACGAGCGACGTGTCATTCTCGAGGCATCGTCCTTTTCGATGTGACGGGCAGGGTTGGCTCGAGTCTCGTAGACGGAATGATGAGGGTTCGAAGCTCGCTTCGGTTTGATGACAAATCTCCAAATGAGGAACGTGATAATGGCTATGGCGGCGATGCCACCGACGACGCCTCCTGCAATCGGCGCTGCGCTGGGGCCACTGCTGTCCTTGCTACTATCGCCTGTGCCCTTGCCGGCTCCGTTGCCCGGAGACTCGTCTCCTACACAGATTGACTTTGGGCATTGTGAGCAGTTGACGGGTACGGTAAACTGACAACTTTGGCCCTCGGCGCAGGATGGGCACTTGAGTTTGGACGTGTCGTCGCACTGAACACAATAACCATCTCGTCGGTTGAGGCTGCGGCGATTGAGGACTGAGAAGGAGACGTCAGCGTACATGTGCAGCGATACAGTGGACCATGACGTTTGAGGACATACTCTCATCTACCTCTGCCAAGTCCTTTGCAATGATGTAGGGTGTTTGGCCAATCATTTCGGGGGCGGGGGAGGATGGCAAAGATGTGTCGAGCGACGTGGGATTTGTTTGCGGACCGCGGTAAACGCTGGATGCAATCAACCAAGGCCTCAGAATACGACGGCTGAGTCTCGACGAATCTCGAAGCGGCGCAGCGAATAGAGTATGAACAACAAGATACGTAACACTGGAATTAGCAGCGTAGGCCCGTCGCTTGTCGTTGAGCGGGAAGCGGAACAGCAATCGACAGATCGGAAGCAAATGTCGCGAGGTAACGAAAGTAGACAGAGAGACTGGCTCCTGGACAAGGAAAGCAAACGACGAAAAGAAGGTTTTGGGGGTTCAAACGAAAGACATGATCGACCCAGGCGACTTGATAGACCGAAGGAGGAGAGGAGCAAGAAGAGGAGGACGAGGAGGACGAGGAGGACGAGGGGCGGTATACTCTGCGCCTCGATATCGAGAAGCAGATGAAGGCTTCGGGAGAGGCCGAGGTTGGTCGGATCAAGTCAAGGCAACGAAAGGCGCAACGCACGGCGGAAGGATGGAAAACGAGGCAAATCGGAGGTCTCACCCAAGCGGACGTGGCCAGACTGGAGACTGGAGGCGGAAGGGGGCACGGCTTCCTCGTCCCTCCGTCCCGAGTCGAGCGTCCCTGAGCGAGGGGGTTCTTCTACTAGCAGTGCAAGTGCACAGTTGTGCACAGTACACTTCGCGCATCGCATCGGAGCCTCTCGACGCTGATTGGCTGTGCCAGGGAGCCTTCAACCAAGCACTAGCACGCTTCTGGACACGGATGGGGGTCCGCCAAGCAATGAAAGGACATGAACGCTGCACAGTGCGCCCAGGGAAGCAGCCAGCCCCTGCGCGTGGCGCCTGGTAGCGAGGAACATTCAGGCACGGGCTGCTGAATGGAGGATGGATGGCGCTGAAGCCTGCGCCGGCGAGTGTGCCAAGCTGCCCCGCCCCGCCCAGTCGAACGGTTGTCCAGACTCCAGAGGGGAAGGCACCGTGAGAGGACTGTGCGGATGACGCCTGGCACTGGGCAGCGGCACGGCGCAGCGCAGCGAAAATGAGACGCCAACTTGGAAGGTAACAAGGTCGACAACAGGCTCACATTTCGTCGATTCACGACTCGGTGGCTGCCGGTCAATGAGAGACCGACGTGACTTGACTTGGCAGATACGCGCCTGAACCAGACGACGGTCGCCGGCAGGAATGTGTTGCTCGCGACCCCGACAAACGCCGGCTGGCCAAGTTGCAAGGTCCATATCCCGTTATCCAACACTTTTGGTACTGGAAGCAGGCAAAAATAAATTAAACTTGATGAGTAAGAAACCACGGCCGGAAGCACTGGACCACAGACCACAGACCGCGGACCACAGACCACAGAGCATGCGCTTTGGCTCTTTGTTGGGAGACGCGGCATTGCCCTGTCTCGAGATTCAATCGCAACTTACTTTGGCGCACGGGTGACGGGTCATGGAGCCGAGCCGGTTTCACCATCCGAACATTCATCAGTCCAGAGTCCAGACTCCGGAGTGCTCCCGTTTCATCAAGTCACTTGGGGAGATGCGACTTGGAATGGACGAGAGGGACATGGTCATGTCCATAGACTCATGGCCATACGTCGTCATACCCATACTAGTAGCTGCTCCGTAGTAGTAGTACGGAGTACAGGTGCCCTCGCCGAAATCCCAGCCCTGCCTGTCCCTGTCCTTCCTCTTCCTGGCTTGGCCTGGCGAGACTCTTCTCATTCATCATTTCATCATCATTTCATGCGCGTAAAGACCCCATCGGCCCATGTCCAATTTTGACCACGGCTGGGGCCAGTGTGCGTGGAGAATGGAGCCCATCTTGTTTTTCCTTTTATGCATGTGAATGCCACCGCTTGGCCTTTGAAACGCGCGTGGCACGGCCGTTGTGGTTGTCTGCGCTTGTGAGCGTTCCGATCATCTGGAGCTTCTTTTTTTCCTACTGGAACATGCTGGCCTGCATTCCCTTTCCGGGTCATCGGCGACGTGACCTCGAGGGTCTGTCTGCCTGCCTTATACCCACCCGTGGCGAACCTCGATCCCTCATCGTTTGAACGAATAATGAATCTGACTTGGAGTACGGAGCACGGAGTTCGGAGCACAGAGCACACATACTATACTTTACTGCTCCGTACTTGAGTATGCATATCTCGGTCGTGCGAGCCCCAGTCCGGCCGCCCCGTGGCTTCCAGCTCACGGCATCTCGAGACAGATTTCGCGCCGTGCAATACTGCCATCAAGTCACCAAATGCGTAAATCCTTTCGATGCGACGAAGCGCGAGAGAGCGTCCTACTTGTTGGACAGTCTGTCATGTCAACCACTCCCAAGGAACTATTTCCTCAGACGACAGCATAGTGGCTTCCCTTCTGCGCCGATATGGCGTCTCGCCTGCAATATTGCTAGGGACTTGTATGAAGACGAAGTAGATGAAAGGAGATGGGTGTATTGCATGACATCCATGATCTGGGCCCATTTGAGACTAGGCGGTCATAGAATAGAACAGGAAGTTGAAGCCGAATTTGCAGCTGATCAGAACGTCCAGTTTGCAGCATGTAAAATGGCCGAAGCAACCGGGGCAGGGCAATTTCTCGCCGGACGTCCCATTTGTTTACACAAGCTTTGTTCAAACAGCCGTGCCTAGACCGGCAAGTTTCCTAAAACATCATCCAATGCTCTGGATTGTTGCAGCGATTGCGCTGGTTCATCAGGCGAAGCGTCATGCCGGCCTTCACGCAGCTATCATGAAGCAGATTATTTCGTCCTACAATTTTGTAAACACTGCCTGGGCGAGGTCTCAAGTCTCATCGGGAATGCAAATATCACTATTTACAGGTGGTCGTTTCTGGATCGCGGCTTTTCAAAGGCTCCCAGGAAAGTGCTTGCCCCCAATCTCATTCCTCGGATGGTCAAGTTTTTCTTCATATATCGTTACGCGGCTTTATTGTTCTCCTCCGTTGGGTCCTTCATCGGGCTGTCGATAAGTCAACAGTACCCCAACGTTCAAACACGGGAAGAGGCCTGGAAATATCGTCTGTCTACAGTGGCAAGTCGCCAAGCCCGGGGAAATACTTGAGTTTGGGACAGCCGACCTTGTCTTACTTGATCAGCATTGGTACGTAAGTAGTTATTGCTCGTCTGTGGTGTCCCGGGGCGAGCCTTGCCCATTGCCTTTGGATAAATTCTAGTCTCAACTGTCATTTAGTCAGGAATCTGGAGAGTTGGAAAGGAGATGCGCCTTGAAGATGATTTTTCTCTCTAACTACTGGAGTATGCTATCATAGAGCTCCAACTCAAAGGTGCCTTCTTCCGAGTGAAATTTGCCGATGGGTCACATGACCCTGACAAGACACTTTTTGGGAGCCACCCGAGATTTGACAAACTTGTTTCAAGAGCAGCTTCCCCATGGCGTCTATCGCTTACAGCGCATCTCTTGCAAGAGGTGACTTGTAAGGTCTTGCCGTCTGCTCTCGCGACTGATGGCCACGAGCAAGTGACACGCATCAGGGTTGCGGGCCGACTCCACAGAATGCCACTCGGCCAAATGCGATGGACCAGCCATTTTGAAGGACTAGGTTGCGAGGCTCCACGGGGAAATCCGCTGGCGCTATTTTTGGGTTATTTGTGGGAGCCTCTGCCCCCTTCAATTTTGCACCGAGTACGGAGTACCATTGCAAGAATGTTGGATCTTACCAGATGCCCCTGACATGGGAAAACGTGCAGGAAAAACAAAAAGGATCGTGGCAGGACTTGCTTTGTGACGAGAAGATGCGATGATGCCAAATGTCGGGTATGGCCACTTTTGAATCATGTTGAGGACTCGGTGCAAGCACGATTGTTGGCATTCCGTACTTGAGAAGTCTTGCTCCTGTCCCCACCATAAAGATGCCATTTAGACAGGGACAGTGACGCTGGCTTTGCTTCTATATTAGCAACGAGTCGAGAAACATAGAAAAGGAAATTTTCTTGTGCGAAGATGCCCGCTGTTCCGTTGCTCACCCTTTTCACAACGACGGGCTTGGTTTGGCTGGTTGCCCTTAGGCAAGTGCCAGAACAGCGTGGTGTCAAGGTTTTGTCCGAAACAGCCACTGGACGGAGGACTCGGGAGGAGGCTGCGTGAGACATTTGTTGGTTGGTTCATGGTCAACTCCTCTAACGGCCATGCAAGAAGACCCGAGGGCTGGGTGTCGGGCCATTTGTCGCCATCTGCTTGCTGCTGCTTGCTTGGTCACCTTCCCCTGTAAAGTGGTATTCTGAACGCAGCCTCGTGTGTATCTGGTTGTCCAGATGGACTAGCCATGCAGTACCAGGTATGGAGAGCACGCCCTCTTCCACAAAGCCATGTTTCGATTGGAGAGCGTCATTTTGGCCGATCTGCTGTGCAACCGTACGAAGCAGGCGGGCAAAGCTGCGGACTCGGAACTGGGTGAGAAGGAATTCAGACGGACCGGCGGATTCAGGATGGCACGCACGGAGGAGTACTTGCAGCCTGAAGGACAGAAGAACGTCGCCGTTGAAATGCCCTGGAAACCCCGGTCCAGCTGTCGCGGGCGGCGTGATTGAGGACTCGGGAGCGCATGATGGTCCCGTCGATGATGGCAAGAATGGCTGGATCCACCCAGCCAGAACATCTGCAGCCAAGCCAAGACCCGCCAAGCCCGGCCAGCCAAGCCCACGAACAAGAAATCAGCAGGCGATGGGGACGCGAGTTATTATTATTGTTTACTCCAGGACGTAAGACTGAGCATTCCGTACTCAACAGTACTCCGCAATACGGAGTACATGGTACTGGAAGCAACGAACTGCTCCGTAGTCCGTGGCAAACCGCAAGTTCCAGGGGGCGACGGGACTCACAGGAGACACGAGCGAGGGTGGCTCAGCCAATGCTAGCGCCAGCCGCCTAATTTTGGCTTGTGTTGGCGCTGTCTGCCTTCGTGTTACTCCGCTGGGTGCTGCTGCGGCTCACAACGTGCATGTCCCGGTGC